TTACCTTCACCCACTTACCCAGATGTTGTCCCCTGTGTTTGTACTCAACTGTTAATATTATTTGTTCTGTGTAATAATTTCATTGTTTAAATGCATTTTGAATCTACATATGTGCATTCTGGTCTTGAAGTATAGCAATGTACTGTCTACTGTATGTGTCTTTGTAGGGCAATGTTAAAATAAATGCTAAAAAAATGTTCAAAACAACAAGGTCAGATTACTGATAATAAACTTACCCGGTATGCCTTAACATAATGAAATTCACATACGTGAAGCAGTCAAAAATAAGTTTTGTGTCAGGAACGTTTATCTGGAGATCTGTCTCCAAATAAAAATTTCTGACTTGACATCTTTACATGTTTTGACTTTGATGGTGTTAATGTAATTATTGATACTATGATTTCAAAGTAATGAAGTTGAATTATAAAAAAGCCCATAAACTGATCCGCGTTGACAAAAGACTCACTTTTCTCAATTGCATCATACTGGATGGAGCTGCACTATACTTGTCCCCTGTCAACTCCCTCTTGGCCGTCCCCCACCCAGTTCTGACATGGTTTATAAATCAGACACGCAATTTTTCCTCGGATCAGCTGATTTTCTCATTTTTCACTTCACAGTCATGTCAACCAAAATTGAAAAACACCGTACAAAAGTCTTGTAAGATTGACATTTTCCCGTTTTTGTCAAAGACCAAGTTGCATGCGTGTGAAATACTTGTCTGAGTTTGATGAAGGCTTGTATGTTTATTTTTTTTTTTATTTCCAAGGTCCATCCCAACAGTTCAGATTTCAACCTGATGTGGACAGGGTCCCATGTCAAACCTTACACACTACGCTCCTTGACAGAATTCCAGAAAGTTAACCATTTTCCAAGGTGAGAGACACACGAGTTTGAAATCCCTTCCTCCCTGTCCATATTGGGCTAAAACCAAAACAGTGTGTACACTGTGGACTGACTCCAGCAAAACATTCTGGATTCAGTACACTCCTGATGGAAGCAGACAGAATTGAAATAAAAATTCTTCAGTCACCATGCTTGATTTGGAATCACCTATATTGTTTTTTAATTCGTTATTTTTTTCATGTTCTCCAATTGTTATTGCTCTGGTAAAGTGTATGTGGTCTGTCTGTGTTTGCATTAGGTCTTATGAAATCACACGGAAGGACAGACTTTACAAGAACTTTCAACGAATGCAGCAGTCAAAGGTGAGGGTTTTTGCAGATTTGAAACTCGTGATCTCAAGGTGCCGTGTACATGTACATACATGTATGTCATCTGTTTTTCTAAAACAGATAACAGCCCAGCCCCAGCCATGCCTCTAAATTGGGGGAACTAATGAAATCTCATAGTGATTCATAGCTCGTGCAGTAAGTAATGTTTTGAGGAAATTCGTAAAACTAAGTTTTCATGTCTTTTTTTTTTGGTATGATTATTCCAAAGAGCCAATTTTCGGTCTTGTACGTTAGTATTGCATGCACATGGTACACTCTACGTGCAAGATTATTGAATGATTGTGTACCAAGATTGTGTTGATTCAAACCCTACCTGTGTCTCTGCTTCGCATGCCAATCTAGCATGACCATAGTTCAACAGTTCTGTAATCATCCTTTCTTTTTAGCAGGCTTTTATTAACTTCCAGGCAAATGTTCATATGTGTTGGAGGGCCTTGTGAACCAAGAGTCACTCAAGAGTGCAGTTGATGTCCACTTCATACAATGCACTATGGAATGTTAAAACTCAGCATCTTCTCTTGTAGGGGGAATGTTCAGATAGTTGAAGGTTTTTAAACATGTAGGATTATCTCATGTCGTGAAAGACAGGCATTTTTTATATAAAAAAAATGGTTGGTATTAGAATCTGTAAAGCAGGTGTATTGATATTGGCTTGGTTTCCACTGGGATGATGTAGACATGCCAGTACAAGTGAAGTAGCCTTCCCAGGTATAATCGGATTACAGGTTTTAAGATTAAGCTGGTATTTTGCATCCCTGCCAAGGACAGACCATTGAACAGACATACAAAAAGGTTACACAGTTCTTTCATATCTTCAATACATTATCACGGGAATAAGTAAGTGTTGAGGCATGAAGCTGATCATACACACCAGTTTTGAGAGTATTGCCAAAATGAATGCCATTTGTGTTTGTCACTTTTTTAATCCTTTGGCATAACCTTGAAAATTTGCACTGAGAGAGTAATTTGAGTTGTCCATTAATTGTATAATAGTGTATTGTACAATTGCTGCGAATAGAAATCTCAAAATGAACGTTAATATTCTACTTACCTCCACATTCCATACTTGAATTGTCATTCTGTGAATAGTTTTATTTCTTTTCAAAATTTGTGGCATTTTGAGCCGGGCAGTGAGAGTACCTTACATGTACATACTTGTAGGGTACCGTACAATGGTATGAATACCAGCATGTTCCAGCAGTGGGTTCCATTTTTCTGAGGTCCACTGTCCCCATCTTTTATTCCTTCTTTACATGGTAGATGGTCGGAAAGCAAAAGCTATGTACATGTACATGCCTTGCAGTAAAGCTCCTGGTACTTTTGAACATGCAGTTAAACAGGAGCATATTGAAGCACCACGACTGAAGTTTTGTTTGTTGGTCTGTTTGTACCACAGGGTGTGCGCCATTTTGATTTTCTCCCACAGACGTTTGTCACACCAACAGAGTACGATGATCTGGTCGGTGAGTAGAATGAAAGAGGTGTCCTTTCTAGTATATTAGTTTGGGGAAAAGAGACTAGGGATTGACTGTTTTCCAATACTCAACTTCAGCTCCATCTCAGGCTTCAACTTTTTTTTTACTCCCTGACATTGAAGTTGTAAGCGCAAAAGTAAGTCTGATAAAGCCGCAAAACATCAAGTAAGATGCAAAAGATTAAAATATTACGGTACTTTAATGCTTCAGCCCGCGATTGGGGATTGGTTTCAGAGACGAAGCCTGAGACAGAGACAAAGCCTAAGACAGAGACGAAGTTGAGTATTGGAAAATCGCCAAGTACTACCTCCGAAAGTGATTCCAGTTGTAATCAGACTAAACCACTCGTACTGCCACAGAAGATTGCTTTATGTACATGCACCAGTAGATTGTAAACTCTCTTATGACAGATCAAAAACCTTTATATTAGGCTGTTTTGTAGTGTAGGCTACTTTTTAAGACTGATCACACACTTTAGTAGCTTGTAGTTTTGCAAATGGTCTAACCCTTACATTCCTCCAATTTCAATATAATTTTACTTACACCCATGTACATGTACCGTCAAAAAGGTGAGGCTATGTGCTGTCTAAAAAAAGATAGGACAGGGTTCAACCCCACACAGGCCTTGCTTCTCTTGCACTGAAAAACCTACAGACCAAACCTTCCTGGTATCACTCCACAGTTATCTGTTGGGGCACACACAGCTGTTTGTCTACACTAAATAATTACACCACCTCCCTCTGGCAAATATTTACCCCGAAATCATTGCACTTAGCAGTGTACACATTACACTCTCTGAGAAAAGGACCAGAGAGTATGGGAGTTGTACTGTAGTTTGTATTGATTGAGGATAATATGATAGTCCTGATGCCTGGTTACCAAGCTGGGTTAGTACCCCAGTGTGAGTGTGGGCGTTTCATCAGTCAACTTATTACTCTGATGTATCATGTGTTGACTTTACAGTGCAGTGAGTGGAGTAGTTAAATTTGTTGGCTGATGGGGCGGTGTGATCATTCCTTCCTCCATGGCCTAATGGTCTGGAATATAGAGTGCACTGTTTGCCGCTGTTACCAAATTGTGTCCCGACCAAATGACACTTGGAATGCTATCACTTGGAAGACAATGATGAAATGTTCTTTCCAACTTTTTCATGCTCTTTCTCCTGTAGAGCATTTTTTTCCCCCAACCAGACCTGTGGCGAAACAATTGGGCCTGCCTTGTGGAGGAAATGGACAGTGATGGGAGCTGACACACAAAAAAATATTTTTAACTGAATGTGCACAAAATGGTTACCCTTTTGGGTGAAAGTCTTCCAATAGCAAGAAAGACTGCATTGCATGTTTACTGCTGTGGGTGTACGGTAGCCCCACTAGTGGAGGTCATGTACAAATCCTTTATATTTGCAATGGTAATACCACCTTTACAGCAACTTGTAACATTCAGAGCAACAGTGCACAATGTTGAGGGACAAGTTTGTCAATAGTTCTACATTGTAGGTTGTCAAGTTTGTTTTTGGATATTATACAACACACCTGCATAAATCCCCTGTCATCTGATTGGTGGATCGTTCATCACATAGCACTGAATTATTTGTACCAATACACAGCACATGCGCGATGCGCATACAGAGTGCAAAAAATTTATAACAAGTGTGTATTAGAAACGAATAATGAGCACCTGCAGCTTCTAGTGACGCAAGCTTTTTGTGGCAAAAGGACGAGCGATCAAGTTCCACCATTCACAGTTCAACGAAATAATTATAAGAACTAGTTTTTGTAAGTAATGCTGGTGTTGCCAACTTAAGGAAACAGATAAAATGCTGGCAAGTGATTCAAACTGGACAACTTCCAGTTTGAATCAGTAAATTAATCAAGGTGCACTCAGAAAATCAGATGACACTCATAAACTTTCATTATTTGTATAGTGTTCATCACGTTATTTTGTTTGCAACAGGAGACACCTGCCCAAGACAATGTTGCCCCTAGGCATGCAGTGTCGAGGCTTAATAATGCACACTTCAGGATACAGTTCCCACTGGAAACAGACATGACGTGTTCAAGTTTTCCGCCTATAAACTTAATTATTATTTGTTCTTTCTCCAATGTATGTTTTTTCCCGTATCTCTTTTGTGTTTGCAGCTGCACACATGAAGGAGAGGGGCACATGGATTGTCAAACCGGTGGCCTCTTCTAGAGGAAGAGGCATCTCGCTCATCAATAATGTAAGCCTCCCCACAGGCGTAGAGCTAGGCTGACGTGAACAGAAGAGGGACTAGACTGCAGGGGGAAATTCAATGAGTACATGTGGAGGCGTGTACAACCTTGCAGGGATTATATGGCAACAGTATAGACAAAAATACCCCTTGTCTGCACCCCCCTGAAACAAAACAGACACCAGAAACATACATTGAAACTTGCTGTTCTGTTTAATTTGTTGTTTTAATTGATTTTGTTGTTAGAATGATATACCTCTTATGGGATTTGATTTGGTACAAAATACGTTAGAAGGGACTGTGTTTGGGGTGTTTTCCTAGTGGTTGTGTATGGTCATTGCTTGAATACTTTGAAATGTATTGTATGAATTGCTATGTGGTGTACTTATACGTTTGAAATATGTGACCCACTCTGTGAAAATGAGTCATAAGTCGCCAGAACCACTTCGGCATACCGGTACATGTAAACAGTCCCTTAATATAATTTTGTAGACTGTAAATCAGTAGGAACCCACAGCATTTTTGTCCATGGAGTATCCACTTTCACCAGGATGCCAAACTTAGTGATACATCAAAACAAAAAGCTCAAGTTGCTCTTTCCAATACAAATGAAAACTCAAAAAGTGGCTCTGACGAGTTATGACTCATTTTTACAGTGTTGGTCACATATAAGCTGTAGGTATCAATGCAGTGCAGTGCTCATATTTGGATTCATTTCTATTTTTCCAGCCACAACATGTACCAATGGATGGCAACCATGTGGTTTCACGGTACATCAGTAATCCACTCTTGATAGATGGTATGTTCAAGTGCGTATTTCTTCAGCATTGGACGTTATGATAAGAGAAACAGAAGTGTGTATACAGTGAGCAGTCTGTTGTCAGGAAATTGGCTTTTTCATCAGCAACTCAGGGTGTTCAATTTTTTCTTTTGACCAGCCTTTCTTTTGACCTGCCTTTCTTTTGA